ATTACTTATTACTCAAATTATTATTTCAGTCGTTCTTAATGTATCAAGCGTCTATATGCAAAGAAAAGTAAAAAACTATGGTTATTATCATTAAATGAAGATATAGCCTAAAGATGCTTTGCGGGATTTACAGCATAACCAGGTTTCATTCGCCCGGGCCCCTGGCAGTTGCCCCTTTTGCCACCCCCCTGTCGGCGGGCCTGGTTCTTGTAATTGTAAGTTGTGGTCTGCATTACACCAAGAAAGTCTGATATTAATTTTTTTTACATTATGGAGAGAAGCTTGAGCTGACAAGAATAATAATTTTGGAATATTAAGTTTTATTTAAATTTTTATTTTTGAACGTTCTTCGGGAAAGGTAAATAGAAAACAATGACAAGTAAAATAGAATTCTCACCTTCTCCGAGTTCTTCCTCCACAAATATCTTCGTGCATCTGAATGTTTTTTGTGGTTGTAGGACTGTTGAAAATCTCACCACCACAGTGTCTAATGAATCTGCGAACTGAGCTGAAACTGGAACAGGTGCCGCCGCCTAAGGTGCATTAAAACAATCGAAAATGTGAGTTTATTAAAACTTCTGAATGTTCAAATAAATATAAATTACATTTGCAGTGCTGAAGACATTCTAAAGGCGTTAAAGAAACAATAATTGCTATTCCTACAAAAATACTATATATTAAAACATTCCGAAGTCTTTGAAGTAAAGGAACAATTACATTCATAAGATCTTCAGTTTATTGCTTGCATTACATATATTCCAAATATTTTCAAGTAAAAGAACAATTACATTCATAATATCTTCAGTTTATTGCTTGTATTAAATATATTCCAAAAATGTTCAAGTAAAAGAACAATTACATTCATAAGATCTTTAGTTTATTACTTGCAATAAATATATTCCAACATTTTTCAAGTAAAGGAACAATTACAATTCATAAGATCTTCAGTTTATTACGTGCAGTAAATATATTCCGCCTGGTAGACGCAAGTCTCTTCTGACTAAGACTGTGACACAACTTGACGAAGGTTATCAAGGGGCAGGCCAAGCTGGTGTGAGAGCACGAGTACCAAGCAACATTAAAATTGCTGTGACATAGTTCTTTCATTAAGTTCAGTCTACGTAATGATAATAAATGAATTTATAAAAGCGATTAACATAAATTTCCAAAATTGATAACTCCATGAATATCTTACAGAAATATTAACCTTCACTCGATCAACTACTCAGCATTTACACGCTGAATACTTCACTTTGACATTTACTACTACTTCAGTCTACTAACTCCTATATATATATATATATATATAATTGAAGTTTTACTTCTAGCAGTTCGTTAGTTACTAGATTTTCGTTGCGCCGTCTAGAACACTCTAGTTACTTTGATAATACTTTAATGAACTTCGATCTTAGCGTCATGTCCTCTCTAGGGAAAATCTAAATTAAATCACTGAAAATATAACTTACAACTATATTGTTTCGTGTCTCTAAGCTCTCGAATTTCATTATTAAAGAACCATTTGTACCGAGCGTTGTAAGTTACAAGCATGTTTAGTGGTCTGTTAAAAAATTACTGACATTATGTCACATTTATTGCGTTTACAAATCTTGTAGGAACCGTCATCATAATTCTGACAGTCTCTTTCGTAAATATCACGGAAATTATAGCAGACTGTTCCATAAAATTTTATCGGTACATCTATTTATTAAAATATATCTACATAAATTATCTGAGCAGACAATTAGATCTTACAAAATAAGATCCGTATATATTTATATATTCACACCAATATATTGTCGATCAGTCATTCCAACGTCAGAAGACAAAATAAAATCTGTACATCAATTCATACAGATATATTCACATCAATATAGTGTCGAACCGTCATTCAACCTTAATAAAACACAATATAATCTATACATCCATTCATACAGATATATTCACATCAATATATTGTCTAACAGTCATTCTACCTTAATAAAACACAATATAATCTATACATCCATTCATACAGATATATCCACATTAATATATTGTCGAACAGTCATTCAACCTAAATAAAATACAATATAATCTATACATCCATTCATACAGATGTATTCACATCAATATCTTGTCGAACCATCATTCCACCTTAATAAAACACAATATGATCTATACATCCATTCACACAGATATATCCACATCAATATATTGTCGAACAGTCATTTCACCTTAATAAAATACAATATGATCTATACATCAATTCATACAGATATATCCACATTAATATATTGTCGAACAGTCATTCAACCTTAATAAAATACAATATAATCTATACATCCATTCATACAGATATATCCACATCAATATATTGTAGATCAGTCATTTAACCTTAATAAAATACAATATAATCTATACATCCATTCATACAGATATATCCACATCAATGTATTGTCGAACAGTCATTCAACCTTAATAAAATACAATATAATCTATACATCAATTCACACAGATATATCCACATTAGTATATTGTCGAACAGTCATTTCAACTTAATAAAACACAATAAAATCTGTACATCAGTTCATACAGATATATCCACATCAATGTATTGTCGAACAGTCATTTCACCTTAATAAAATACAATATAATCTATACATCAATTCATACAGATATATCCACATTAATATATTGTCGAACAGTCATTCAACCTTAATAAAATACAATATAATCTATACATCAATTCATACAGATATATCCACATCAATGTATTGTCGAACAGTCATTTCAACTTAATAAAACACAATATAATCTATACATCAATTCCTACAGATATATCCACATTAATATATTATCGAACCGTTACTACATCCTTAGCAGACACCAAAAAATCTATACATCAATTCATACAGATACATCTACATCAATACAGTGTCGAACCGTCATTCCACCCTTAGAAGACACGATAAAATCTGTACATCCATTGATACAGATATATCTACATCAATATAGTGTCGAACCGTCATTCCACTTTAATAAAACCCAATGAAATCTATACATCAATTTTTACAGATATGTCCACATTATCGTAGTGTCAAACTCTCATTCCACTCTTAGAAGACACAATAAAATCTGTACATCAATTCTAATGATATATACACATCACTATTTTGTGGAAACATCTTTCCATCCTTAAAAGACACAGTGAAATCTGTACATCAATTAATATAAATTAATAGTTTCATTCATCTTGATACACGAAACTTGGTAGAAAAATTAACCTTTACTCTTAAGGAAGAGTAGAGTTCTGACGATTTGAATGGAATTCAACTACACGGTCAATTGTAAGTTTGGAGTAAGTTTTCTCATCCTTTTTGGCTTATGGGAAATGTTCTCATACGTTACGAAATATTAATTTCTGAAATTACGTTTAAGTGTAGTTTTGTTTGTTTGTTTCTAATTAAGCACAAAGCTATACAATGGGCTATATGTGCTCTGCCCACCATGGGTATCGAAACCTGGTTTCTAGCGTTGTAAGTTCGCAGACATTCCGCTGAGCCACTGGGGGGCGTGTAGTTTTATAATCCATATTATATATCTGATCCTTTAATTTCTTTGTGTAGCATATACGATCTATATTGCTAATGACAGATCTTTTCTTTGTGAACCATATTTCACCAATAAAATGTCTAACCGTGTCCATTTATTTCAAAACCAACTGATGTAATAATTATTGATTAGTTTTAACGTTAGAACTAATAAAAGAAATGTTTCTTACCGAATCAAAACCATAACATTCTGCCTCCGAAACACAAATCATCAGTCGCTGACAATACACTTGGCTTAGAGGACAGTCCAGAAATGGTGTGGGTGGTGATGTACAGGTGATTTGACATTCCCCAACTTCGGCACAGTACACGTATTTCTGAGGACAGGTTACAACTGAAGTGTTGATTTTGCAGTCATGGACACAGCGACCCTCTACTGCACAGTAAACCATATCAGGAGGACAAACAGTTGGTGTCTCGTCTTCGGTGCAGTCATGGACACAGCGACCCTCCACTGCACAGTAAACCATATAAGGAGGACAAACAGTTGGTGTTTCATCTTCGGTACAGTCATGGACACAGCGACCCTTCACTGTACAGTAAATCATATCAGGAGGACAAACAGTTGATGTCTCGTCTTCGGTGCAGTCATGGACACAGCGACCCTTCACTGCACAGTAAACCATATCAGGCGGACAAACAGTTGATGTTTCATCTACTGTGCAGTCATGAACACAGCGACCTTTCACTGCACAGTAAACCATATCAGGAGGACAAGTAATTGGTGTCTCATCTGCGATGCAGTCATAAACACAGCGACCCTTCACTACACAGTAAACCATATCAGGAGGACAAGCAGTTGGTGTCTCATCTGTGGTGCAGTCATAGACACAGTTTTCTCTCTCGGGACAAAATACGAAGCCTGGCGGACAAATCACTCGAGATGACTTCTTTTCTGTGCATTCTAGTAAACATTGATTATCTTCTACACACAAAATAAAGCCAGGTGGACACACTTCTTTATATGGTATACTAGCATCATAACAATAAACACATTCATCGTTTTCTGCGCAGTAGCGTAGTCCCATTGGACAAGAAACAAAGCGCGTGTCTTCACCAGGACAGTCTATTGTGCACTCTTCAAGAGCAGGACAGAAACTTGTCCCTGAGGGACACATAATGGAGTCGATGTTTTCCTTGTCACACTGAGAGAATGTGCAGGAGTTTGTTTCTACACAGTATGACATTTTCGGTGGACACTGTGGAGTTTCAGCTGAATGGCAATCTTCCATACATTGTCCTGTGTGTGTGCAGTACATAGTACCTGAGGGGCAGATAAGTGCCTCCGTGGTATCACAAACTTCCGCACATATTCCAGTCTCGAAACAAAGCATCTGGAAACAAAATAATCTTTGTTAAAAATATCACTTACACTTTCAATAAAACTTTTATAATTCTAACACTTCAAAGTGACAAAGTATGAAATAATTAATTATGTTAATTTAAAAGTAGCTACAGATTATAAACAAGATTACGACACTTATGATATACAACATTGTTTATTGACAAAAAGGGGACATGGATAAACGTTT